AAAATCATGTCCATGTAAAAAAGAAAACGTTTTCTGCTCAACCAAATGTCATTCGAAGAGGGAGTGGCTGTTCAAACATGCACTAAACTAATTCAGAGACCCATATTGTGTGTATTAAATAAAGATTATAAAATAAAAAAACATTTGTTTGTACTTTAAATATTTCTTTTTTTACTACTTTCTATTCATCGGAACACTATTTTAATTTCGTCTGGACGAAATTAAAATTTTAATTTTGACTAAGAACATATCGGACGAAATTATAATTTCAATTTCGTCTGGACAAAATTAAAATTTCAATTTTGCCTGGGCAAATTTAAAATTGGGCTGAATTTTAATTTCGACCACAACATATATATATATAAAATCTATCGAAAAATCAATGATCGATTGTTTTTGAAATCGAATGAAAATAAATTTAATAAATTATAATAAAATATTTAAATATTGATTGAAATTATTTGAATATATAATATTATTATTTATTTATTGTTTTTAATAAAGAAATGATGATGTACCTGATTGTTACAATCGAGTTCGTTATATTCGAGATGCTTGTAAAGTATTATGTGATCTTTGGAAAACCGATAAAGATTTTGTAAGTTAATTAAAAATATTTATTTTGAAAAAAAAAACAAATGAAATTTATTTTTAGTTAAATAAAAGTATTGATAATGATGTATCAAAATCATTCAAAGAATTTCGTTTGAATGATGTTGCACGTTGTTATCGTTTACCATATGGAACAAGTGGAGCTTCATCGGTTTTAAAAATCAAACAATTGATGGTTTAGTTCAAATACATGATTTTATTGATTCAAAAAGAAAAGAAAGGCTTGAACAATTAAAAAAAATTATTGAACAAGCCAGAGATAAACAAGTAAATATAGAACTTTGTCTTTTTTTTATTTTTATTTTTATCTATAAAAGTCACCTATTCGTCAAACAATGACTGAACTTCGAGATAATTATGAAAAAGCTCAACAAAAATTAGAAGCAGCTGATGCCAATTGGAAAAAGTTCGTTTATTAATTTTATATAAAAACAAAAAAAAAAGAAATTCTTTTGATTTTTCTAAAGATTTCAAACACGATCTGATCGTTTAACATTACCAAATTTTGATGAACGTTTACGTGAATTAGAAGATATTCGTTGTGAATGCGAACAAGCTCGAACATTATCACGTGATATATATGCAGCTGAAACATATAAAGTTGCTAGTGAAGAACATTCAATAACAATTAAACTTTTTTATCAATATTTATATGAAGAAAATACATTTTATAATCATGTATCGAAATATTTATCATCACGAATACCTGAAATTGAACAAAGATTAGAAAATGATGAATTAATTCCATCATTTGGTTATGATCTTGCTAAACATTGTTTAAAACGAAATGATACACTTATTGCTTATCCTATTGAAATATGTATTAGACTTTTAGAAAATAGTTTAAATGAACAAGGTCTTTTTCGTATTGCACCAACATAAGGAAAACAAAAAAAAATAGTTGCTGAACTTAATTTACATGCTATTGATAGAGGAAGAACACTTTATGATCTTTTAAAAGAGAACTTCCTGATTGTTTGCTTACAAATGCACTTTTATCACAATGGAATGATGTTATTTCAATCAGGTTTTTATCTTTTTTCTTTTAAGAGAAAAATGACAAGATACGTTTTAATTTATATTGAGAAAAATAAAAGATATATTGATTTAGTTTTTTTTTTGAATATAATTGATATTAATCAATCTATCTCAACAAAAATTTCGTTTAATTCATATATTATATTTAAAAATAAATAAAGAAACATTTGAAAATTGAAATAGTTAAGATTATATTGAAATCAATTTAAATCAGAGATGGGCAAGCTCCGATCGCTCCACCTGCTCCAGAGCACTTTTCGGTCGGAGCGCTAATGTATGTAACTGAAGCGGTGACAAACACAGGTTGGAATTCGACTTTGCTCCGAGGGTTCTGGTCGGAGCGATAGATTTTCTGTACTAAAATTTTTTCGCTCCGGTCAAAACCATCGGAGCAAAGTCGAACTCCAGCCTGTGTTTGTTACCGCTTCGAGTGATCTCAGTAGACCGCAACTTTTGCTAGTCACCGCTGCACTTACATACATTAGTGCTCCGACCGAAAAGTGCTCTGAAGCGATCGGAGCTTGCCCATCTCTGATTTAAATCTATCAATCTTGTTGAGATATATATAGCTGTCAGCGTCCAAACTGAGATTATGTCCAATCTCAGATCCGAGATTGGACGTGTCCAATGTTGAATTGACGCAATTCTGTTCACTAAAATATCAATAACTTTTTTGATAGACGTTGGATTCGAACTATGTTTTGAAATTATGTTCGCACAATGCCGTTTC